CAAATACCACTCAGGAGCGCTAGCATGCTCCCATCAATTCTTCTAATGTAGCAGAAGCAAAACATAGCCTAGTCAGACTCTTAATACTGGTGTCACCTGTTAGCAAGAGCAAAATTTGGGAGAACTAGGGTCTCAACCTCCAAGGTCCCCCTCCACCTCTAAGGATGCAACATTTTGATCCTGCCATGAGGTTAAGCACCTTTCACTGCAGCATGTGACAAAGTGTTATTATAATAGCTTTTAAAGCATATTGTAGAGAGAATTGAGACCATTTCTGCTAATCCCTCTCTTCTCTCTTCTTTATGACTCCCCTTTGTCTCAGTTATCAGAAGACTTTCCCCAGCACTTTACCACACCTCCTTAGACTCCTCACACTGAACTCATGGTCAGCCTTCCAGGGATAAAGTTCTTCTGTCAGAAGAGTACATGACCTCCTACATAAGGATGCAAAGCAGCATGCACACTGTGATAAGAGTAGTGAGAGATTGTAAAGCAAGTTGATTAAAGCAAAGACCATAATAGAAGGGCCTGTTCTGGAATCAAAGGGCAAGCGAATGCATTGAGGAAAGGGGAATGATCAAAGCAATAGGAGATAATTTGGGGGCAAAATCTTCAAGAGCTGTTGTAATAGGACAAGGAGTACTGAAATGATAACAACTCAGGCAGGATATAGTAAGTACTAGAACTAAGGCTGAAGGACGGGCAAGATTCAGGTGTGAGGAAAAAGCATTAGGACTGAATAGAATACTAACTATGGGGAGAAATATTAATCAAAAAATTACTCTCAAGATTCTAGCTTTGAGGTTAACAGAAAGTACACATTCTTATCAAAGGTAAGATTTAAGTACAGGCAAGTAGCTACAAGCTTAGGAGGTAAAAATCCTGGTGGAGCAAAAGAACAAAAAACCAAGGCCAGGGCCCTTGAGAATTCCTAAAGCCAGTGAGAACTGCAGTGATGAGAATCCATGAAAGCAACATTATAGAAAGAAGATCAATAACTACAGAAGAAAAGATTCTACTGAGGATTTTATGTTTACTTATACCGGAGGATTTAACCTGTAAATCAATAATATAGTCTCCTTAGAAGCAAGATTTTTTAAAATTTTGCCTTTGTATCCTCAATTCTGAGCACAGTGCCTTGTACGTTCTGGGCACTTGATGTATGATAAATTGAATTAGCTCTACCAGAAATTCGTGAAAAATGGACATCACTCCAAAAAATTAATATAAAGTGAAAGAAGTTAAACTATAAAAGTCTAAGATTTCTAAATATTATTACGCTAAGCAGGGTTGAATATGGAAAAATTCAGAGCAACATCAATCGACAAATATTTATGAAGCATCTTCTATGTGCCAGGCAATGTGTTACACTGGGGAATCAAATACCAAAAAATAAAACAGCCTCTCCTTTCAAGCAAGTTACATTCTACTGAGGCATGAGAAGAATTACATGAAGTAATGCAGAATAAAGTAAGCAGAACTGAAAAACAATGCACTCAATTACATTACAAATGTAAACCAAAAGAACTAAAAAAGAACCTGAACACTGTGTTATTATAATAACTAAGTGATGAGAAAATGTAGTTCTATCTTTTTTGTTGAGACAGAAGAATTTGGACGTGGAAGGCTGCAAAAGCTGTCAAATGTGGCTGATGTGCCATTTGTTTCTGCTGAACTTTTAAAAAATCTTTGCTCCAAAGGAATGCTGTTTGAACAGGGGATGGGGAGGGACAAAGTCGGAAATAAATGGAACATAAAAACCATGACATCAATAAAACCTGTTTAAAGTGCATTTGAATAGGTGGGCTCTAAAGGCAAAAATATGATAAAGATCAAATTAAGCAGGAAAAAAACAAAAATTTCTTCTAACACACTATGATTCCATTCTGGTTTTACTGAACTTAAAGTGACTTAAAGAAGTGGTAATGTCATGAACGTTTTTCAAGAGAAGTGGTTCTCTAATTTAAAAGCAACAAGGCTTTGAAAGCAGTGTGTTGAGGATATGGAAATAAACCTCTTTCAACATAGTAACATCTCCAGATTGGATTTAAACTTTAATATAGGGGAAGTAGACAGAATGAACATGTCTCTCCTTGCATTCTTATATCCTTTTATGGCTTTACAGCTTCTCCATAGATTTCTATAAGACCTTAGTCATCTTGTATTGCTATCTCCATGCTTTTATGTCAACTTCCTATGCATTTTCAGTTACGTAATTTCTCTTCATCCAGTTCTTCCCTCCATGAATTTCTTCTCAGATTTCTATGTCAATTCTTCCTAGGCACCACTCGCAAAGTGGTCTTATCAAAATCATCCATGTTAGCTTCCTGGGAAAAATGACAAACCTACTGCCTCTAGTTATTAGATGAATAAAGAAAATGAAACAGGGTCATTATGCCTTTTTATTCTTCCTTGTCATTAGTATAGTTTTAAAACTCAGGAACTTGTTCTATCAAACTTTGGGTCTCTCAAGTCCAGATTCTACTTTTTGGGAAGAATGTAGGTACAAGATTATTTCATGTAAATTTGTCATACAGCGCTAAAATTAATAGTAAAAGGTACATTGGCAAGAATATAACCCTTAAAGAGAAACCAAAAAGAAATTAACTTGCCACAGCTGCAGCACAATCCTGAGGACAGAGCCCTTGAGTAAAAAATTACAACATTAGAACCTATTTTTACTCAGTGAAAGACCTAGGATAAGTTACACTATCTGATTCTTTGTACAGTCATCTGTAAAATGAAGATAATACTTGTGCTTGCTGCTTCTCAGAGCTTTTATAAGAAAAATGCTTGGTAAATGGCAAAGTTTATACACATGTGTTACAATGATGCTATAATTTTCAAATGTAGATTTCAGAGAAGCTTCAAAATAAAATTTAGGAAAGATCTACTGATAGGACATGTCAAATAAGAATTCTTGTATATAGTAAAATGCTTATTAGAGTCAGTTTTCTTCATTTTGGCTCACAACATTCCACAAAATTTAAACCCAAAGTATCTCTAAAAATATTAACCTTTAGTCAAAGAAAAATAGTTTCTGTCTCTTCACCTTCAGATTATTTTCTAGACATTGGGCCAAATATTAGAAAATCTATTATTTGCTAAATACTTTTGCATAGCAAAGCAAGAAATAAAAGTTATCTTTAACCAGCTTTCCATTGGCCTAAAAAAGTTTTATGATTAACAAAATGACAATGAAAAGTTAACGTGATTGATATTACAATGAATGTTTTTCAAAAAACTCAAGACAGCCTAGTTTTTCTTGGATTTTTTTTTTTTTGCCAAATAAGTAAATTAAGCAAGATTCATATTATATCTCTGTGAAGAGGGATAAGTACATACAAATATATGAACAGGTAAAAAATTATCTTAATATAGAGTAACATGAAGTTTAAACTCCCCCCCCCATTATTCCCTACCCCACTATCATTTAATGAGCCAATAATGATATCCTCAGGTTTAATATTTAAGTTCAATTTCCACTTAATTGGTGAAAGCTGACCTTCAAATTACAAAAATGGGAGTGTGATCTGGTACAGCAAAATACCTACTAGTTTAGTAAGCAAATTATTAGTAAATTAGATATTGCCAAATTTTGCCATTTCTGCCTTTACAACATCTGTAGTAATCAACAACTTCTTTTCACTCATGTTTTAATATAAGCCATCATTGTCTTTTGCCTGGATTATAGCAATTGGTCTCCTATGCAATAGGTCTTACAGCCTCATGACTCTCCCCATACCAGTCTATCATATATACTGTTGCCAAAGTGACTTTCCTTAAACACAAATCTGACCATGTGACTTCCTCACTCAAACTCCAGTCACTTCCAATTGCCTCTAGGACACAACATAAATTAATTACTCTTCTTTAGCTTCACAATCTTCTTTCCAGTATCATGGGTTTTACTCTCTCCCCTTCCCACACTGTGATCTACCAAAACTCCACCTTCTATTTCTATACCTTTGCCCTGGCCATCCCCCATTCCTGGAATTTACTTCTTTATCTCTACCTCAAAGAATCCTTTCTCTTTAAGATGTAGCTCAAGCACTAACTTTTACGTGAATTGTTTCCCAATTCCAACTACTATTACCCTGAGTCTAATACTAACTTATATATACACATAGATAGCGAGATAGATAGCTACTTTGTATATATGCATATTTATTCACTTTATATTTATGCTGAACATACTTTCATATGTACTTGTTTTCCACCATCAGAATGTAAATTCCTTCGAAGTAGGAATTGTTTCACTATCTGTACTTGTATCTTTAATGCCTCCCATGATACTTGGCATACAGAAGGAACTTAGTACTTGAATGATTTGGTTTCATCTTCAGATGTTAAGTTATTTACAAACTTAAAAATCTACTAACTAACCCCTAGATCAGGGATTCTTAATTTGAGGTCCATGGACTTGTTTAAATTATGTCAAGAATTATATTTCAATGTAATTTGTTTCTTTTGTCATTTTATGTATTTTATTTTATGCATTTAAAAACATTATTCCAAGAAGGAGTCCAAAAGCTTCAACAGACTGCTAATGGAGTCTACAAAACATAAAAAAGTTAAGAACCCCTGGCCTAAGATAGTTATAGATTTAGTACTCCTGCTCTATATTTCACTGTAATTTTGAGACTAAGTTCAGTACAGGTTTGTGTTCTCCCTAAGCATGCCCAAAATAGAAAAATCCAAATTAACAAAGATGTATTATCAGGAGGCAAAATGTTGCTTTGCTAAACAAATGTTAACCTTACCAAGAATTCACCATAGCAATTTCCCTGAATTTTAAATTAATTTAATTTTCCACTATAAAAATTAAGTTTACATACAAGTTTTTAGGTATGTAACTATTGTGTCAAATAAGGTATACCTTGTCTCATTAATTTTTACCCTCAAAAAAATTCTGTTACCTAATATCCTCTAAAGTTAGGAGTTTTCTTCTTCCTTCATTATTATTAATCTTCCCGATACAAAACAATAAAGATTCATACCTTGTGTTGTTCAATAGCATCTATCCATTGTTGTCTGTGATCTGGATCCTGAGCTCGTAGATACCAGACACTATCATTTACACTAATATCAAATCGGCATTCATCAAAATCATGAGGCTGTAGAAGAAAAAGGAGACAGTGAAAAATCAAAAATCATTAAGCATTACTATGCTTCATATACTAAGATGAGAACACTAATTTGAAATTTTTTTTATACCAACATAAATAACTTGTGCTAACTACTCTTGATTAAGGCACTATACAAGGATGAAAAATATGAAAACTCAACTCTGATTTTTGCCAATTAACTGTTCTGTTATCTGCTGACCATTACTTATAAAACAGGGTTAATACCTACCATCAAGTAAAATATTTTGAGATAGCTGTTCTCCTGACTCAGCCTCTCCAATCAAATCTAGTTTCACTCTGCTCCTGGCACAACACCAACTTAGTTTTATATGAAAAAAGTATTCTGAATTTGCTAAAGTAGTTAAGAATAATCACATGATTTTAAATAAACCTTTAATAGAAATAAAAAGAGAATTCCTGATAAGATGACTTGAATGGGAAGCAACCTGCCTAGAACTTATAATATAACTATTCTAGCAAAACACTGAAGTTCCCATTAGTGAAATAATGAATGAAAACCTGCGGTAAATTACTTCTTCCATCCCAAAATTGTGCGCGTGCGCATACACATACACACACACTAGAAGCTCAAGAGTAATCAAGAGCCTCTTCTCTGCCATGCTTCCCCCGCTCCATTACTAGCCAGAGACAGTTGGATGTTTTCAGTCTGAAAGACTCTGAGACGCCCTGAGGAGGGCAAGAGCAGAGGGCTCCCCTGAGAAATCAGGATGATAAACAGAAAGCCTCAAAAAGTCTCTAATAACTCTGTCCCGGAACATCCAAAGAGGGCTCCTGAAAGTCCAGCCCTCTGAATCTCCAAGATTAAGGGGTAGGAAGGTAAACAAAAGAAGGTCAGAGTAGAAACTCAGGAATACCTTGGGCAACACCAAGTAGATATGACCTCTCACCCCACCCAAAAGCACAGAAGGGAGCAGAGCCTGTCCTTGACACAAAGATCCAATTTAGGCATTAAATCTATAAAGATGAATTGATCAAAGAAAACACTGACTAGTATAAAAAAACTACTGTAGATTTAGCTATCCACCAAAAATGGAGGGTAGAACGCTATAATAATTCAAGCAAAGACTCAAAGTAAAAAATGGAATTTTCCACAAGGACTACATGAATATCTAGATGAAATAAAGACATAAAATGAGTAACAGAAGAGAAAGTGGTATACCTTAGTCAAAAAATGTGATTCCTGAAAACTATAATAAACCAAACAGAAATCAAGGACTCCATGAGAGAACAAAAAATATAGTCATTAAACTTCCTAAAAACCACAATTTTTAGAAAAATCTCAGATAATGTATTTTAAGAAAACATAAACCACTAAAAAGATTTTGTACAAACAAAACCAATACAATCAAGATTAAAAGGAAAGTAGAGAAAATAGTTCGTAGTAAGTTTCTCTGATAAAGATCTTATTTCTCAAATATACAGAGAACTGACTCAAATTTATAAGAACACAAGTCATTCCTCAATTGATAAATGGTCAGGATATGAATAGGCAGTTTTCAGATAAAGAAATTAAAGCTATTTATAGTCATATGAAAAAAATGTTCTAAATCAGTATTGATTAGAGAAACGAAAATAAAACAACTCTGAGGTATCACCTCACACCTATCAGATTGGCTAATATGACAGAAAAGGAAAATGACAATATTGGAGGGGATGTGAAAAAATTGGGACACAAATGTTACAATGTTGGTAGAGTTGTGAACTAGTCCAAGCATTCTGCAGAACAATTTGGAACTATTTGAAAGGGTTATAATATTGTGCATATCCTTTACCCAGCAATACCACTTCTAGGTCTGAATCCCAAAGAGATGAAAGAAAAAGGAAAAGAACCTATATGCACAAAAATATTTATAGTAGCTCTTTTTGTGGTGGCAAAGAATTAAAAATTGAGGAGATGCCCATCAACTGGGGAATGGCTGAACAAGTTGTTCGCTGTGATAGAATACTATTCTGCTATAAGAAATGATGAGTGGGATGGTTTCAGAAAAACCTGGAAAGGTTTATATGAATTGATGTAAAGTGAAATGAGTAGAACTAGTAACACACAGTAACAACAATACTGTATAATGATCAACCATGAATGACTTAGCATTTCTGATCAATGCAATGATCTAAGATAATTCTGAAGGACTTATGATGAAAAACGTCATCCATCTCCAGAGAAGAAGCTGATAAGAGTCTGAATTCAGGTCGATTTTTACTTTCTTTTTCTGGGTTTTGGTTTTTTTTTTAATCTGTATTTTCATTTCCAACATGGCTAATATGGAAATATGTTTTGAAAGACTGCACATGCACAATCTGCATCAAATTGCCTTAACAATGGGTGGGAGAAAGAATTCAGAACTCAAAATTTAAAACAAAATCAATGTTAAAAATAAATAATTTTTAAAGAGGGACTAGTACATTAGGGTTCTTGATACTTGTTCTTATAAATCTACTATCCAACTACTTCATTTAATTATTTCTTATTTATTCTATATATAGCTTCTTTGTCCACATTTGTTTGCTTACCTCTCTCATTAGATTGTGAGGTCCTTGAGAGCAGGAACTATGTTTTGCCTCTTTTTGTACTCGCAGTCATTAGCACAGCATCTGGCACATAGTTGGTATTTAATAAATGTTGGTGACTGACTATAGAGCAGGTTTTCCAATGAACTAAATAGCACTATTTTTCTAGTGATACTAAATTTGTGATTCATGAACCCTATTATTTCCAAAGAACCAAACTTCTAGGAAACTTAAAAAGCAATAGAAAACTGTATTGCCGACCTAAAGAGGATATAGTATATCACAAACATAATGTCTGCACAATAAATAATATAAAAGAGCATCCAGGAGACTTGCAGTATTAGGTGTGCCAATCACATAGTAAGAGTAAAGAATAATAAGTGCTACATTGATACCCACAAGCTCTCTAGCATGTTAGATGAACTTCTGTGGAAGAAATATGGAAGGATACATGCAAGATTAAGATGAGAAGACACAAATGAAGTATAATCTAAACCACTAGAAAACTCATAGGTTCAGATTTAAAAGCTGAAAGGGACCTCAGATGCCATCTAGCTCAATCCCCTCCTTTTACAGGGGCGGGGGGTGGGGGTGGGGGCAAGTTGACGCCCAAGTAGATTAAGCGACTTGTCTAAATTCACTTAAGTAGTGTTGGAGGTAAGATTTAGATTCAATCCCTCCAATTCTAGAACCAGAACTCAGAAAGATAACATCTTCCAACCAGTGGGACATACATACCCAAGTGCATGACAGAACTTTAGTATATACTACAGAAAAGTTTAAAAGAATTGTTTGAATTCTTTTAATTGAAAGTTAAAATTTGAGCAAAGTTAACACACAAAAATTTGCAGATATGTATATAGTAATTACAAGAATTAATGGAAGGAAAGAGTTTATGGAATGGATGCTGATAACAGAGGAAAGTTTCCTGGAGGAAGGGGCCTTGATTATATTACATTATAGACAGGAAGACTGTTCTATACATAGCAACCATAATGTTCAAAAGTTCCCATGTTATTAATGTGGATAAATAAATGAGGCCATGAAAAGATGGGACTTCCAAACAGGCTCTACACTCAGTGAAAAAAATGTCTAGTTGGCATACTTCCTGAAGAAAATACATGCTAGAAAGATTACAGGACAAATTTAAATGTTTGGCAAAATGGAAAACTGGTAGCACTCAAATAGAAAGCTCCTATCAAATTTCTTCCCTGAAATCAAGTCAGTGACCCTAACCTCCAATACAAATCTCACTTGTCACACTAATATGTAAACAATTTTGTTACAAGTAGCAGTCATTTTTCAAAAATCAATTTTGGCGTACTCCCAAATTCCAACCCTTAAGCTGCTATAGAAAAAAAATTTGTAGTGGCAGCTAGGTGGCGCAGTGCATACAGCACTGACCCCGGAGTCAGGAGGACCCAAGTTCAAATTTGGCCTCAGACACATGATACTCACTAGCTGTGAGCAATTCACCTAACCCCAATTTCTTCGCAAAAAAAAAGAAAAAAGAAAAAAGAATAAGAAAAAAATTTGTGAATTAAAAAAAAAAAAACCAAACAACCCACCAAAGATATAGAACCTTGGGTAATTACTGTAAGAATGCCATAGCATTTATGATCATAGCTTATTAGCCAAGCACCTTTAGAACTAGTGCTTATTTAATAATAAGAATGAAATTATACATTTCTATTGAATTCTATTCTGAAGAGTCTTCAACTTTTAAACTGCTCACTTAACAAGTAAACTATTTGGAAAGTGCAATATTTTATGATAGAAACCAAGGTTAAAATGGTGGTTACCTTCTCAGCTAGTACATATGAATTTATTTAACCCACCATGTAGTAGAGTTTATGCTAACAAAAATAAAATCTCAGTTCTGATTCTGGAAAGATGGGTTTTCTGTGTAGTTGAAGGTTCACACTTGAGGAACAAAGTTTCTTAAACATTTTAAAACACTTTAGATGATCTTTTTTTTTTTTATTCAGGCATGTGACTTCATAGGTGTAAAGAACTTCCAAGTGGCAAAACTTCCCCTACTAATTCAGATGGGCAACTATTCAACAACTTAGCCTTAAAGAGCTGCTGTGAGCACTGAGAGTTTAAATAAGTTGCCCAGGAGCAGAGAGCTAGTATGTGACAGAGGTGTGACACTTCTTTGAGTGGGTCCTGACTATTTAGATGAATATCCTTATAAAATATATTACAAAAAAGAAACTGAAGGAATTAGAATAGGCAATAAGGAAACAAAACTATCATTCTAAATTTACAGACTATATGATGGTATACTTAGAGAATCCTAGAGAATCAAGTAAAAAAAAACTAGTTGAAATAATTAACAACTTCAGAGAAGTTTCAGGATAAAAAATAAACCCACATAAATCAGCATTTCTGTATTTTATTAACAAAGTCCAGCAACAAGTAATAGAAAGAGTAATTGTGTCTAAAATAACTGGAGA